TTAAAGCATGTGCATAAGGAATTTCATTGGCCCATTTTCTTATGCATGAGTCAATGGACCAATCAAATTCTTTATGTATATGGTTTATGCATTATGCAAAATAAAAGTCTGTGCTCCCCGCTTAAAGCCCAAGCACAATGCGAATAACGATAGCGATAAGTTTCAACTTTCTTATCAGAAATCAAATACACCGGAATACACAGATTTTTGGATAGGTTGAAACTTATCGCTATCTCTATTCCCTCGCATTGTGTCTTGGGCTTAACTTACTGTTCATCTTTTTCTAATTTTTAGAATTAGAAAAAGATGAAGAGCAAATTGAACCGAGATTTTAGGATCTCTTTCACCAACGCCGATTAACTTAATCGACGATTAGCCCATTGGAATTGACCAATCGCGTCTGTCGTCAAAACTAAATGATAAATGCGATTGGTCAATTCCAATGGACTAATCGCCGATTAAATTAATCGGCGTTGGTGACAGTCGCCTTAAGTGAAAACGAGTCGCAATACTCCCGTGTATCACACACATGCGGACATGATTCTACCTCCACAACCGGAAGAAACGGCGGTTCTCAGCGATGAAAGCGCCACGAATTCTTGCCGCTGCGGAGTTTATAGTAAACTGCAGAGTTGATACTCCTTCCTAATACTCCGTGCCTATAACCAATTATCTTGGTCGGAGTCCATGACCCAGTCTCCTCCAATGATAGGAACTTTAGTCAGTTTACGTCACACGCAGTTCGCGGTCTATGGGTCTAAAGAGTGAGAGAGTTCGATAAATATACTCACTTGTCAAATCGACTCGTAATGGCCGGAATTAAAGGTTATTTGGTGCATTCTTAATCATTCCACGCGTGTGCGAATCACGTTCCCTGCAGCGTGAATCCTTGAGAAATGTCATCGTCGTGGGGACCTTGCGCTAGAACCGCGAAAATTGGCTGTCAAAACATAACCTCTTCGCATTATTGTTGTCATTGCCGTTTGACGTTTGGCTACGCGTATAATTCTCATCATTTAATTAAGTTTCGTAACTTGATTTAAGAGCAATGTGCGACCTTTACACGTCGCGTTTCCCTTGGACTCTCTTTTTCTTAACTTCGTAAAAACGAAAATTGCAATCTAGAAAAGTTTCATTTTGTAACGTTGCAACGCAATCTTTGCAACTTTTAGACTCTACAATTTAAAACATTACGATTGTTCATCTATCGTTATGCGAAAATTTTATATAAACTTATTGCTACAAACAGATCCAAGGTTAAACAATCATAAATGCACTATCAAACTCGTAAAGTGTAGGCTGTTATCCTTTTAGGAGACAGTCAATACAAATGTGCTATCTTTCTTGACATTTAATGAATAACAACGATAGAATGACATTTGTGTCAACTGTGTCTTCTAAGAGGAAAATAATTATAGTATTTATAACAATGTTAAATGCACAATAGATTAATTTTATATTTTTCTTATTTCATGGTATTCTTACTCCTGTGACATTTGTCTTCAAAACAGCGTAAGTACTTTTGCAAGTAAATAATTAGATAATATACTTGATGCTTTCCAGTAAGAAATACTATCCATCACAGTGATTACTTTATTTTTACTTAACATTGACAAACAACAAAACTGTAATGATTCACTATGTTATCTGTATTTCTTTCTGAAAAATATCTATTTTTTTTTTACTTGTAAAGTAGATGCCTCTTAGTTATTTATAAATTTAATTAAGCTAGTTTTTTTATATAACAAAAATAAAAGGGCTAATGAGAGTAAAATCGCTGTTAGTATTGCGAACATATAAAAAATATATTATAGTACTTAAAATTAATACAATACACTACTAGTTTTTTTAGCTAACTTCTTGCATCGTTTTTTTTCAACAAAAAGAAAAACAGAAGAATGAATTGTGCAAGAAGTTTAGTTAAAAAGAACAAATCTATTGTTGTGAAATGATAATATAGAAGTATATATGTAATTACAGATTAGTACTGTTAGCGTTTGCTGGGTCCATTGGAATGACATTTGTCATTCTTGGCTGTGCATTACCGATATATAAGTGAGTATTTTTGTGAAATCAATCAGTTTTACCCAATTCTTCTAGGTTTATAAAATAGTGTAATACAAATACAATTTCTAGAGTATGGTGGCCATTTTTTGTTGTACTATTCTATATATTGGCACCTATTCCAACTATAATAGCACGCCGCTACACAGATGATTCAGGAAGCAACAGTAACCCATGTTTAGAGTTTGCAATATTTATTACAATGGGATTCGTAGTGTCATCCTTTGCTCTTCCAATAGTATTGGCACGATCTCCAGCAGATCAACCAGTAGTAAGTTACACACTTTACAGAATATTTTAGTCCTCTATTTTTGCAATCTGGATATTTTTTTACATAAACAAAATTACTCTCAAATTTTTCTTATTTTTGTTCAATTTTCAATTTTTATTAAATAAAAGTTAACATTTGAATTAAAAATTATTTGGCAATGTGATTTAAATTATATTTTAAAATTAAGTATAAGTCAATTGTAAATAATTTCATCATAACTAATAATAAATTAGCTTTAAATCTGTTAATCAATTAGAATAACATGTAAGTTATTTGTTTTTACAGATAGAATGGGGCGCTTGCTACTTGACATTAGCAGGTAATATTGTTGTGTATTCAACTCTAGTCGGATTTTTCATAACTTTTGATCAGGACGATACTGATTACAACATGTGGTGAAGTACTACTGCAATGTACTTATTCATCATGATAAAAATGTAAGTAGTATATGAGCTGGTTTATCTAAAAACAATAAAAGTTAATATTTTTATATTAATTATATGGATGAAATAAAATGATTTTATTTAAAAATTTTACTTATGGCTTATTTTCAAAATGTAGAACACAAGACAGTCATTAAAAATATGTCATTTCTATGATGGTCTGTTTATAATGTAGAAAATTGTTTCAGGTTTTTTATGAGATTAAAGGGAAAAAAAATATCAATACAGTGCACTGACTGAAAGCTACATGTTGATTCTAAATTATACTATGAAACTTATTGTACACAGTTTACATAATATAAACCCTAATATGGATACTCTACTGTATTGATGCTACAAAAAAATAGTATTATAGTGCACTAACAATAGAATGTGTCGATGAAAATACACTACAATGGATTCCATGCGTGTTATGGAGCAGTGAAAAAATGTATTTGATGTTTTAGATTTTGGATCTTTTCAGGATAACCTGAAGCGCAACAATACAAGGATAATGTTGAAAATATTTTTTATTTAATCTAAGTCTTTCGTAATAATAATAATGGTAATAAAGCTACGATTTATTACTTAATCTTATTTCTTCAATTATCCTAGAAAAAACCGGTCAAGAATGTTTCCGAGATCATGTTAAAATAAAATATCTTGAAAATCATTCTCTTATACGCATTTCTTATGTGTAATTGTGATTATTATAGTTTTAATAAGAACAGAAACCGTGTTATTAGTATCATAGAATTCCTTAATTTAAATAGATTTTTAAGTTGCCATATTCTTTGTTTTAATGATGAAAGAAATTTGAAAAAAATCATGCTTATTTTTTTATTTAAAGTAAACTAAGCAGAAATTTTGAATCACATGAATTTTTAAGTAATTTAAACAATCACCATTATGAAATATACAAGATGATTTCCGGTTACAGTTTCAATAACCGGAAATCATTATTTCTTCAAAATGGCGCTCGTTTAAGCGCAATCCAAGATTGGCTGTATTCAGATTTCAACCCGAGTGCTGCCACCCTGCCAATATCATCCTTTTGCTCACTGTTGCTCACCGAATGTTAAAGAAGGACAACACGATACCTAGATGTGCCTAGATGTAGATTACTCATGTGGGAATCTGAATGCGCCTATCGATTTGCGATTTCTTAGCGCATAACTTTCGAATGATACAAATTTGAACGGTTAGGTAAGTCATGTTTCACGATACTTCAAATTTCTCTTGAAAGAAATTCGATGAAGTTTTCTCGCACCTTAATTTTTCCTCTAAAAGTAGTTCTGCTCGTTACAAATTAAAATTTTCGAAACGTGCCCAAAAATCCAATCGCACGAAAAGTACATCACAAGGCGCGAAAAGATTCGAGTGTATGTCGCTATATGAAAATATACGGCAATGAAAATTGACTGAACGTTGCCTCGAGAGAAAATTCAGAGAGAAAATTCAGTGTAATCGTTAAAAAAAATATCTGATTTGATTTGTTTACTCGTTTGGAAGGTATATTTTCAACAATAAAACTATATTTTGAAGATTAATGTGTGAATTTTGTTATTTTAATAAGAATTAGGTTAGAAAGAGTTAAGGCATTTATTGCTAATTTGTGAAATAATTACTGCAGTTTTAACGCGAAAGAAATTATTGAAAATAATTGTGGATTCAAGTTTAAAGATGATTGTAAATATAGTAAATCCAGTTGCATCTTAATATTGGAATTTCATCGATATGTAATTAGAATGCTATTAATTGAGAGGATGTCAAATGATGAAATACATGTAATACACAATCAATTAATTTAGTATAGAATTATATATATATATATATATATTTATATATATTAAATATATTTATATATATATATTATTTAGAATTAATTAAGTTTTATGATTATATATTTTTATGTAAATCAAATTTAATAAAATTAAATACTATATATTTTAGAAGAATTAAACATATTTATCATGTAAATTTCCTTCCCACTTTAGGCCAAAGTGTTTTATCTAATCATACATTTTCAGAGATTGCAATGTATAGATATATACCATTAATATCTATATTTTTTACTTGTGTGGATAAAACGACTGTTTTTTAATAATCAAGAAATATTTTGATAAGAGATAAGTTTATAATTTAGAAATTATATTTTTTATTGTATATGTGCTCCTAGCATTTATGAGATTATTTTCTTTTAAAACATAATTTAGAATTAAATGTTAGTTGACTTTATTAGAATGCTTTCTGGAATTCAAAAAACAAAACTTTGTGAATCTTTTGATCAGTCTATTCAAATGGAACAGCTACTACCAATGGAATTAAGGAGTAAGTGTAGCTCTTGAATATCTATTATTATTTACATGTTTTATAAAATTTTTATGTGAATATATAATGAAACATGACATTTCTAGGAGAACATGAAGGGATGCCAGATAATCTAAACTCTATTATTCCATATGCTACTTTAAGAATGCGCAATGTTGCTCACTTATCTAATGAAGAATGTGCTAATGCTATTGCTAGTCATCTGCAATCAAGCGAGAAGTTTATGCATGATCCTAAATTGGAGCAATTTAGGATGGAAACAGTGAGAACAATACCACAGTGTCTCGCTGTGAAACAATCTGTTAAATCACAGCTTTTGGCTGCTGTTAACCAAAAGACAACAAAGAGATCAATTAGTTGTTGGAAACTTTTTAAATATAATGTCAGTTTAAAATTTGCAAAGGTAATGTTAATTTTTATTAGAGCTGTTACCTTTATATTATGTATAAAGAAATGAGAAAACTTGAATTTTGTTTATATAGATTTGGGTAACAATACAGAACTTTTTGTCAACAATAAAATTATGGTATAGAACAATAAAAACCATTGAGAGTCGCCATGGAAGTGGTATAGCAACATACTTCAAATTCTTGAGATGGTTACTCTTCCTTAATACAATTTCTTGTATCTTGAGGTAGATATATTTTATTTCATTTTTTTTGTAATGTTATATTTATAATAAGTACATTTTGACATAAAAGTTTTAACCAATTTAAAGTTATTTAAAAATAAAAGAATTTAAAAAATGTTCATAATTTTAATTTATTGGTAGGTAAATACATTATACTTATAAAATGAAGTAATCAAAATGAGATATTGATGAATATTTTATGTTTGCAGTGTATTTTTTATTGTGATTCCACAATCACTAGATCAAGCATATGTATCAAATAATATTACAGTATTGGATTTTTTAACAGGCAGTGTAAGTGTAATTATTTTATTGTAAACAGCATGTTCTAAATAATGTGGCACACATATTACAATATCTTGATTTGCAGGGCTTTTTATCTCACACAATAATGTATTACGGTTTTTATTCCAACGGCACAGTAGATGTATCATTTGGAACCAAATATAGCATTCCATTTTCCTATTTCTTAACGCTGCTTTTCTGTTATATAGTTACATTCGTTATACTTTCTCTCAAGTATGTGATAAAAATAAAGTGATAAAATTATTCAATTTGTAATTGAGTGTAATAATTACTTTTTTTAGAGTTATATCCTCTTATAGAAAGTCTTATGTCGAAACACGTGAAAAAATACATAATTTATATAGTAGCAAAATATTTTGTGGATGGGATTTCAGTATATCTTCATCAAAAACGGCTGTCTTGCAATCAGCATCGATTTATAAAGAATTAGAAGAATTACTAGCAGAAACGAAGCAGCATATACATTTCCATTGGTGTACCAAGTTTTTATTAATTATAATGCAATTTGCTGTAACATCTATTATTATATGTATGATTTTCGGTGCTGGTGCACTCGTTTGGATGCTATTAAATCATTACAACATAGAAGCTCCTGTAACCATCTCGGTTATGATTGTGCCAATAGTTATTACCACTATCATTCACATTTTTCCAACGATTATTTCCTACTTAGTAAGTAGTCTGTATTTTCTATTGTAAAAATAATTCATTATATAATATTTATATTTTTAGGCATTGCTAGAACGCTACAACAACAAACGTAGGGAACTTTACATAACAATTATCAGAAATTATGCAGTTGCTGCGACAGTAATTGGAACTTTATTTGTTTTTTGGTTAATCCACAGTATATCACATTGTTGGCAAACACACTTAGGGCAAGAGATTTATCGGCTTATTATACTGGATTTCATTGCTTCACTAGTCGGAGCGTTTTTGCATTTAACACGTTCCATACTGTACAAAAAATATTCGACAAAAGTCGGCAAACCAGAATTTAATATTGCTCACAGTACATTAAATCTCATATATAATCAGATGCTCTTTTGGATAGGATTTTATTTCAGTCCGTTAATATCTATTATAATTGTGATAAAATTAATTTTTACGTTTTATGTGAAGAGATATGAACTGAAAAGATACTACCAAAGACCATCGCAGCCTTGGCGAGCGGCACAAACGCAAACGCTGTTCTTGGCTCTCACATTTCTCAGTATTATGATTATATTATTCACAATAGGATATGTTATCACAAATGTGAAAAGTAACGAATGCGGACCATTCAGAAATCATCTTCACACTTGGGATTTTATTGTCGACGGGATGTTATCGTTAAAAAGAGATAGTCCGTTCTGGAGTGTTATTTCGGAACTTGCGTCACCAGTGACCGGTGCTATAATATTGATTAGCATGAGGTAGATTTATAAATATGAATATAAATATACTCACAAAATTATATAAATGGAGATATTGGTTAACTAAATATTTTTGTTAAAGTATTGCAGTGTATTGTTTAAGAGCAAAAGCAGAAGCGAGTAAGGAAATCTCACAAATTTGTTCCAACATGCTCCTTCTCCAATCTCAAGATAAGCAATTTCTCATAAATAGTTTTGGTAAATGTACTAAAAATAAACGTAAGTTACATTTACTATTAAATTATAGACATCTTTATGCAATTATTGTTAACAATTTATGTATATTTTTCTTTTTTCAGGTGCTTTTATTCCTAATGAGATTAATCTTGTCCAGAAAATTGGACACACTGAACAAGATCATACAAATGAAGAAGTTTTATTTTTTCATCAACATAACTTACCATCAACAAGCTTCGAAGAAAGATGATTATAATTAAATATGAATCAGTTAACAATTGAGTAACAAATTGTCAGAGCACGTATTAGTCGATTATTTTTCTTACATTTTTATTTATACATTTAAATGGACTTTTTAAAAATATTGATTCTATCACGCGTGATTTTTGCCAAAACTTGAACGCTTAAGACTGTATATATAATGATTGTATATATGATGAAATAATCCAGACATTACGTTCAAAATGTGAACAATAAGACATCTTCAAGATATCTTACGTCCACATTTTGGATGTTTAAGGTATCAGGAGACGCGGTAGTGTATCCGGCCATGTTCAAAAAACTACTGGTTAATTTAAAAGTTAGTTTAAAAGATTAATAATAGATACTACAAACTACAAGTCTCTTATCTCGAGCCACCAAAGTCCATTTTTGGGGGGTGCATAACTTATAAAATATAAAAAATTTTGAATCGCCCGTAATATGTCTTGAAAGGTGGCATCGGAACGAGTAATTTGAGCCAAAAAAATTTTAAATCGGTCAAGCCGTTCTGGAGATACAAGCGGTCGAAAAATGATGATTTTAATGAAAAATTAAGAAACGTCTCCTCTGTCTGTCTGTCCGAAATTATAACTTTTTAACATCCTATCTCACCTTTCACTATTAGATTTTAATATAGTTTGACATTGATATAAGATGTCAAAAAGAGCATCAATTAATTATTAAATTGTTAATCAATTTAATTCGTAATAGTACTGCAGTAGTTTATTAGAGTTGCGTTTCAAGATTGACTATTGTTCGGCGCGCAGTTTAGAAAGACTACATATATCAGTATATACGCTTTTAAGGCTTTCACGGGTATTTTCTTCAATTATACCAGAAGGTTTGCGGGTTATCGCCGT